ATCACCTTCTGATAAACGTTCTTACGTCTGGATATTGTGTTTTAGTAGGAGGAAATTTGGTGTCTTGGAAGAGCAAGAAACAAAATGTAGTTGCTCGGTCTAGTGCAGAAGCAGAATATCGAGCAATGGCTATGGCAACTTGTGAGCTAGTCTGGACCAAACAATTGCTCAAGGAGTTGAAATTTGGTGAAATCAGTCGGATGAAACTTATGTGCGATAATCAAGCTGCCTTTCATATTGCATCAAATTCGGTGTTACATGAGAGAACTAAACACATTGAGATTGATTGTCACTTCATCAGAGAAAAGATACTTTCAGGAGAGATTGCTAGAGAGGTTGCTACAAAGTTTGTGAGGTCGAATGATCAACTTGCAGATATTTTCACCAAGTCCCTCACTGGTCCTCGTATTGGTTATATATGTAACAAGCTCGGTACATATGATTTGTGTGCACCGACTTGAGGGGGAGTGTTAGTTTACACATATGTACATAATGTAGTTTTGTCCCACATTGCAATATGAGTAATATGTCCTTGTAAAGTATAACTACAAATAATAACCTCTTGTATTGTATCGAGTATCTAATATCAATAATATATTTTCTCTCGTGCTTTCTTACACCCCTTTCTCCATCCTCTCCCCCATTTCTTTTTATATTTCTACCGTTCCTCTTTCCCCTTCTTTTCCCACCCCTCCTCCATCGTTTTCTCCCCTTTTTCCTTTCCCGTTCTTCCTCCTTTCCATTTTCATAAACCTCGAATCAATATTTGAAAAAAATATTATTAAGAACCCTTTTATGAAGAGCAACCAACATTAGTGTTTTTGAGATAAATTAGATCTATGGCTATTGTAGTGTTTAATCTGTTTTGGGTAAGGATCGTCTCATGACTAACGGATTTTCAGGTGGTGGAGTTGATATTTAATAGTGGATTTATTTGATGGAGAGACGCTGAATATCTAAATTTTTTTTGGCAGTTTAAGGTGAGGTGCCGGAGATGCGGCGGTTTTGGAGGGTAAAGAGTGGTTGACAAAGGTCTTTGTAGAATTAGGTGGGGTGTACTGTAAAATTATATGGACATATGAGGATATTGAGGAATTTCAGTGGTGATTCATTAGCATCAATGGAGGAAAGGAGTTCAAGGTGGTTCACATGGTTGATTGCAGTAGTGAGTGATGGCGTTGGACAAAAATCTCTGAAGGGGAGATGTGAAAGATGTAAAATTGAAGAATGGTGGTTTTTAGTTGTCCATGGCTGTAGTGTCACTGGTACAGGCAGAAAGCTGAGGTGTTGTTTCTGTTGTGGAAAATAGAGAGAGGTGGTCAAGGGTAGGGGATGAGTGGAGTGAAAAAGAAAAAGAAAAAGAAATTAAATTTTTTTAAATTAAAGAGAAAAAATGATGATGTGTCATAATAAATCTGATGTGGAGGATGATGTGTCATCCACATCGTGCGTTTGAAGAACACGTGAGGTTAGAGGGGTTTACAGTAGTGTGTTTTAACAACTACGAGTGTCTAGATGAAACCTCGTGGAGTATAAGGATCGGGATGACAAAATAGGACTAGTGGAGGTATTTATTAGGCTATTGTGCCATAAAACTAACAAAATAACAAAATCCCAAGGTTGGACTGACTCTACTAGGACCCCATATATCAGAATGAACTAAAAAGAAAACAGACTCTGCATGACTTTCAACACTATGCGGAAAGGAGGCTCGGGTATATTGTCAACATAGTCCCAAAGTCTAGCAAAATCCAACTTCAAATCCCCCATAAACTTTCTAAGAACTATTTGTTTGGCCCTATAAGCAATTGTTCTTCCTACATACAATCCCAAATTCTCTCTAACAAGTTCCTGAATTTCCCAGATCCTCATATAAGGTGCAACAGTTAGCTCTTTTTTGAATTTGTTAGGATGAACTAAAAAGAAAACAGACTTTGCATGACTTTCAACACTACGCGGAAAGGAGGCTCGGGTATATTGTCAACATAGTCCCAAAGTCTAGCAAACTCCAACTTCAAATCCCCCATAAACTTTCTAAGAACTATTTGTTTGGCCCTATAAGCAATTGTTCTTCCTACATACAATCCCAAATTCTCTCTAACAAGTTCCTGAATTTCCCAGATCCTCATATAAGGTGCAACAGTTAGCTCTTTTTTGAATTTGTTAGCAATGTACTTGGAATTGCACAACTTGTTTGTGTTCAATGGTTGACACTTGTGAATAGGATAATATTTTTTCACCATAAAGTCATTAGAATCCCTATCAATACTAGCAAACAACTCCTATCTGCATCTTTTATGTTTACACCTTACCCTTACTCTATGCTTCTCATTGGGTCTAAGCTTTAATTGAACCTTGTACTCAACTGCATAATCAGTCACTGCCTTCCTAAATACCTTAGCATTCTCAAATATCATGCCCAATTCAAATATTGAAACTACACTGTCTGGGTCATATCTAATCTTTGTGCTCTTCCTTCTACTTGGAATGTCAGCACCTGGCTCAAAGTCCACATCCAGCTCTTCACTAGTGTTATCACTTCCAGCATCTGAACTATCTATGAATTCCTCATCACCTCCTAATCTGCCAACATATTTCTGTCGTTTGTTCACCCCTATATCTTCAAAACCTCTATCAATTCCAGCTTCTCCTATTGGTACTCCAGTAGTTTCAGGTTGTTTCTTTCTTTTGCTAGCCTTCTTTTTATTTCTCGTCTCATTTTTATGACTCTCAACTCTTCATCAACCCGACTATCATCCTCATCAGGAATTTCATCAGAAACACCAGCCTGTGACTCTTCAAGTGGAGGCTCTTCAAAAGGCTGTTCTGTATTTATATTATCTGGACCACCTTCACTTGTTGCCCTAGATGACTTATTTAATGAGTCACTACTATCTTTAGTAATTTCTGGCTCACATAAATAGCCAGCTTGGACAACTGTCTCAACAACCTCATCAATAACATGTAAAATATACACATTTAATTCCCCATTAGTACAGTGGCAACCAATATTATATAATTGTTCGTCATTTTTCACCAATACAAATTCTTTACTATTAGGGTTAAAGACATAAAAGCCCCCAATAGTGTGGTACCCCGGCCCCCTTGTATGATAACCAAATTCATAAAGGGAAAAGTGGTCCTGGTTAATAGAAAATTCGTTCACCTCTATATTGGTGACATATTTTGCGTCTGGAGGATCGGTAAAGGTTCCATCATGATGAAAGCGTACAAGAATAAAGGTGTCCCCAGACATACTTTACCCTACATTGACAAAGACGAAGCAAGAAAAAACAAAGGCAAGTCAGAAAGATTCGTAAAAAAAAGAGAGAAAAAACTCGAATATGGGTGACATTTCAAAACCCAAATTACTAACATGCACCCAAAATAAACAACAAATAACTGAGGATAAACAACAAATGTTGCTTACCGGTATCCTAAGTTGCTCCGACACGGGTGCGGATCTAGAGGTCAGATCCTTTAAGATGGAAATTTTAAAATTCGGGGATACGGATCCTAGAACCGACACGGGTGTGGGGATCCGGCTAAAAATAATTCAAAAATAAAAATAAATATATCTCTAAATTATGTGGAGTACTTACCTATAACTTGTTAAATGTGAATTTCTTCTTTATTCGTGTTTTTGCTACTGTTCTCTTATTTTACATAGTCAAAAGAATCAAAAGCTTAAAAGATTTCAAAGCAAGCTCCACGTATAGTTTTTTGGGATAAAGAAAAACTTGTCCTTTTATGGTCAATTGAAATGTATAAATAAGAGTAAATCAAATATAAAAAGTTAGATAGTGGTGGGCCCGAGACAAATAAATAAGAGTAAATCAAATATAAAAAGTTAGATAGTGGTGGGCACGAGACAAAAAGGTTTGCACACGGTCATGACAGCTAGAAAGCATATCACTCTTCAAGAAAGCATATCACTTTTCAAGAAGAAAGTATATCACTTTTCAAAAAGCATATCCTAATTTGTCTCTGTCTTCTTCGTCTATCTGCACTCGCCTCTTCTTCTTTCCTTAGTCTTCTTCCCCAACAAAACCTTTTCCATGTCTCTGTTTTTTTTATGTATAAAACCTTTTCCTTCTCTGTTTGGTCAACGCACCCGATCTTGTCTGACCGAATCCGACACAGATCCCACACCCTTACCCGTGTCAGTGTCGTGTCGACACGGGTACGGCGCCCAAATTGCCGTGTCCGAGCAACTTAGCCGGTATCAAAAGGAAGACAAACGAATGGAAGCCGATGGATGTGGGAGCATGAACAAGCGATTCAGCCGATGAAAA